TAAGTATACAATTTACTCAAATAATATTATTTTTAAATAAAACTCAAAAAAACGCGCAAATTTTAGTATAAATTTTTACTTGTGACCTTCACCCAGAGACACTGTGAATTTTATTAAAAGTAATAAAATTAATAAAAAACTAATTTAAATCTTAGTGTTATTTTAGTAAGCACAAATTGAATAATGTTAAATTATTTTATTTATTATAACTAGTTTAAAATTTACTCCAACACTTTTTGATTCTTCACAACTTTTTTGAAGTCGAGTTAACTTATTAAAATATTTTAATTAATGAACTGTCACTACTTTGATTTGAATTTAAAATGTATATATACATATTTATATAATATTATACAGTACCAGAGTATAATATCTCCGAGGATTTTTTTAAAGACATGATTTTTTTGTTAGAAATTGGGCGTTGCTGATTGTAAATGACGCCTTTGATATACATATATTCATCCCTTCCAAAAACATAAGGGCGTGTTTCTGAAGGATTTTCATGTCCCTGTTCAGAAGCATCCCTTCGTTAAATATACATTTCATGTATACATATATACTTTTATATATATATATATATATATATATATATATATATATAGAGGTATATCATGTACAATATGTGTATTCATGTGTTATATTTATTAGGGTCGAATTTACTAAAAATTCTGAGCACAAAATAGCAACCATTGCTGAAAGTACATATTTTGTATCTATTTATAATAATATGAAAAGCTCTTAAACTATTTACTTAAAATACAAAAGTTAAATTGTTGAATCTCTGGCAGAAACAATTTTTGTACATTTTGAGATTTTTTTTACCATCTTTGTCTACTATCTATTAAGAAAAATAAAATACCTATATAATGACAATATTAAGGCATCATATTTTATTTTTATATAATTGCAAAACTACTTTTACCTAATTCACAAATAACTTAAGAACTAATTGAAATAGAAATTTGATTTGATTTGATTGAAACAACTAGTATAAAAATATTTAAATTTCATATCACGAATATTTAAAATATTAATATGCAAAAATCATAGTAAAATTTGTGTTAAATTCAGAATGTTTCAAGGCAAATTGTTCAAAGTTTCTCTTCTTTAAAATAAATAATAAACGAAAAAATTAAAAAACAAATTTAAATTTTAATATAGGCAAGAAACTTCGTTCTGTACAAAATTTCAAACTTGTGATATGATATTGTGATATATTGAATTTCTAAGTTATTTTTTGGAAATTTGTATTAAATATTTTTAAGTAAAAACTGCTGTCACTACCGCTCGATACCAGGTGTTTTTAATTTCAGAAAGTTTTTGTATAAAATCTAATTCTTTGTATTAAATCTAGTATGCTTTATGAAAAATTGCTGGAAATGTCTGTTTTATAAACAAAATACTAGATAATAATAAGAAACAAATTAGAACATTAAATACCCTTTAAAATTGTGCAGAACTTCATAGATGTTATATATATTTAATGAATTTTGGTAATTTTGAGCTATTTCCTGAATTTTGGAAATTTTTAAAAATTCTTGAAATTTAAAATTTACTGGAAATATTTATTAACTCAATAAAATTCAGAAACAAATTGAAATTATCAACACCTATTGAAATGGAATATTGAACTTGAAATGGAATTTAGAAACTTTAAGTTTTCATTCATAAGAGAATTGTTTTATTTTTAAATCTCTTGAAAATTTGTCTTGCAAAATTGTAAATTAGCAGTACTTTCTACATTCTTAACAAACCCACCCAAAAATGTATCATATTTTCCCGCAATTTATTATCATACAAGAAGTTAAATTTCTTACTACACATTCATTACTATTACGATTTATTTGCATAATTTTTCTGACAATATTTGAATAATTTATTGATTTTAATAATAATAATACATTGGAGGCTCTCCCATGGATTAATGGTTAGAGCTATGGGTGTTGAAATCACTGGGCAGCCTGATGTCAGCAGTAGAGGCAGTAGAGGCATTTGGACTTGAAAGAATTAGCCATATGTAACCAAGTAAACAGCTAGATAATAATAAATAGAAATAGGACAAATATTGGGTTGCTATCTATGAAACGATGGAATTAAGTCAAACTTGATTGACAAACTTAAATAAATTTAAAACTGAATTAAAAAACAACACCAGAAATAAACAAGATAAAGTTAAATGTGACTTATACTTAATTTCTTATATAAATGTAATATTTTAAAATATAGTAATATGAAATAGATAAATATATATGTATAGGCATAAATGTATAAAGCCATCCATAATCTCTTATACCAGGCACCCCTGTCTGTCTGAGATATGGATATATATGAAATGCATATAATGCTAAATAAAAAAAAACTAGTGGACGAATGGCATCGTGTCTTATGGCAAATTGCTGGAACTTCCCGTACCAAAATTTTTTTTTAAAAAGATTGACATTTTTGAAAAAAAATTACTTCGAAGAAATTAGATTTTTGATCAGTTCTTCATCTTGTTAATACAAGTAAAATGTTTTTTGAATTATTCAAATCGGACGCTCCGTTCTCTTAAAAACTGAGTTACCGTTTTTGGCATTTTTTGTCCAATATTTTCGGAACGGCTGCACTGCCTTCGCCAAAAACTAATCAGCACGTCTCCTTATCAATACAATCCAATGTTTTTTTGAATTATTAAATAGCTTCATCTGTGTTCCCGAAATCGTCGACGAAAATTTGTATCCGAACACAAACACACACACGCATACACACACACATACATCCATTTTTTCTAAAGTATGTCGAAATGTTCAGAAGGTTTTTAAACGTAAAGATATTTAAAAATTTTCATTTTCGATTTTTGGACGATTACAATAACTTACCATACGGGAAGTTAAAAATAACACATCGATGGTATAAACTGTATGCAAATGATCTTTTTTCTTCTATTTTATTAAGTAACAAATTATTTAATAGTAAACAAAGTAATAAATATCAGTCATTAAATAAAAATTAACAGTTGAACAAAAATACGAGTACAAATAAAAAGAAACTATCTAATTACCCAACAAACAAAACGGCCCTGCATCAACCAAACCAAACAACCCAAAAAAACAACAAACCCGCCGCATCCAACATCTGCCCTACGCCACACCTTTCGCCACCATCAGGCCACACCTCCTCATCCATCCATCCATCAATCCTCACTCAAACCACGCCCCATTCTATCCTATCCGCCAACCCTCGTCCTTCGATTCACTCACACATCGCCATCGCCACCAACACATGCAAGAGTGACGCCGAAATGTGCAGTGAGATTTTCAAATGCACAAGAGTCCCCTTAGAAAAGCACAGCCGGGCGCCGAGTCGGCTACTAGTGAGCAACGGTCGCGAAAGCCAAATGAACACTTTCGGCGGTACGGGATCGAAAATTTAGAGAAAAAATTTGGACAGGAGAAGAAGACCCTGGTTAATGGACAAGGGTGAAGGGTGAAGAAATAGTTTATTATATAACATTACATACATTGATGACAAAAGTGAAGATTTTTGTTGGATGAGGTGCTCCAGAAAAAATTTCTGAGAGAAAATTGATAGTGAATGTGGGGCTCCAGACAAAATCTTTAAGAGAAGTTTGATGGTAAATGTGGGTGCTCCAGAAGAAATCTATGAGCGAAGATTTATGATGGATGTGATGCTCAGAAGAAATCTTTAAGAGAAGATGATAGTAAATGTGGGTGCTCTAGAAGACACCCTTGATTAACAAGAGTGATCGATAAAGTGTCTCAAGAAATTAATTAAGAATCCTCATAGAGTTGCTTACGAAGAAGAAATTGATGATAAAAGTGATTATTGGTGAAGAACAAGATGCCAAGGTGCTCAAGAAGAATAATCTGGTGCCGATGAATAAATTGTAACACAATTTTAAAATTTTTGCCCAAAAGTCGACAAATTTGCAAAAATTTGTTCATAAGATTTATAGTTCCAATTATTTACCAAGAAGATACTGAACAAAAGTGAAGATTTGGGAGATAGTGATGATCCAAGTGAATTTGGTGGGTTTTAAAATTTATAAAGAGGATCATTTGCCAAAAAATAGTTGGAATTAATGGTACAGTGTTTAGCAAAGACTTAAATAATTATTGATGGTGAACAAAGTGCTCCAATACAAGACTTTGATAGAAATGAGCAAAAAGTGAGTTTTTAAGAAATCACAAGTTTAGTGAATTTTAGAAAAATGTGTAGACTGGTGTAGACAATTAGCTAAATGCAGAAATATCTTCCTGGTATAAATTATTTAATATAAATAAAAAATATAAAACGGCTAAGTAAAAAAATATATTTAACATTTGCTTCTTAATTTCAATTAGAAAATTAGACCTCCATTAATGAATATTTTAAATAAATATAAAATTTTACACAATTTATTAAGTCACAGCTTCATTTTGATCAAATGTAACAATTGGTGGTGAAAATATTAAACACATATTTCTAAAAAATAATTAAAAGTCCTGAAGTTTTATTAATTTTAGTGAATGCTCCTTATAATTTAAAAAAAGTGTGGACTTCAAAGCTAAAAACAAATTTATTTACCATATTTTAAAAGTCAAACTACTTTTCAAATTGTAAAAAAGATAAAATCAAGGAAGAAATATATTGGTAATATGAAAATAGTGAGTTCAGTTACTAAATAAAGTTTTTAAGAATATACTAAAACACTTTAAATAATAATTTAGATAATTTTATAAAATTTGTGATAAAAACAGTCTTGAAAATTGTGCAAAAACATCCATTTTTTGGAAAGAGCAATAATAACAGAAATACGTCTAAGAAAAATATTTAATTATTAAATTAAATTATTAATATTGTAAAACATACAAATAAATTTCAAGTAAAAATATAGAAAAATCGAACCACAATAGAGATAGTAAATTATCGCCAATTGTATGACATCTCGTGCTCAAACAAGTTGACTATTACCATCAATATTTTTCTAAATCATCTACAATATTATTTCATCCCCCAAAATGACTTCTTCCGAAATCACCCTTTCCCCGTCCGTCACAATGCCCTCACAAAAGCCCTTAAACTTTTCCATCGCCCGAATTATGCAACCCGATCCTGTCCCCAAAGAAAAGCAAAGAAAAACTTTAAATTTTCAACCACAAATCATGGAAAACGAACAAGATGATGAAATGAGGATAGATGTCGACGATTCTGAAGAAAATAGTGCAAAAAGTAATGAAATCGAAGAACAAATGGTGACTGAAGGTGGTCAGATGACTGAAAATGCGGATGATGTGCTGCAGAGGATAGATTCAGCTTTTAAAAAGTAAGAATAATATATAAACAGTCAAATTTTAAATGTCAATATGACTTTGCTCTTTCAAATCTTGCTGAATATTTTTCCTAGAACACTTTATGTAATACCGATTTATTAAGATTTTTATTGACATTATTTTGTTCATTACATGATTTTCGTTAAAATGTATATTTTAGGAGATATTTGCAAAAAAACGAAGAAAAACGCCAAAAATATATGAATCTTTAGTGGCCAGTAACTTGGAAAGTATTAGTTTTTTTGAAAAACTATAAAAGACATTTTTTTCTTATATTTAGTTCTTCTATCGATTTCTGACGTTATTTTGAAAAAATATAATTACACAATTGAGAAAAGGTGTCATCCCCCCTAACCCGAATTATTTTCACTTTTGAACTTGAGGGTAAGATGAACCTAATTGCAAAATTTCATTCAATTCGGAGCACAGTAAAAAAAATTCAGGCCTAAAACGCTCCGTTTACTGCACTACTTGTATTTTGATAACAAGTAATTTTGTTAATTTACAGTTAGGTGGGTGAAAACTAAATTATATGTTAATTTGAACATTTGTCTATATGGAAAAATGTACTGAAATACTGTCATTGAATACGATGAATTAGTCATGTAGTACTATACAAATAGCCAAATTTTCATGTCTATAAATGTTCTATTATTATTTCTAGGTATGTTCCACTTCAGCACCATCATCGAACTCTACTGGCCCAGCATGCAACCTCAATCCTGGCCCATTATTACAACCCGATACCAAGTCTGATGTGCGCCATCCAGCAATACACCACAAGTACCACAAACCAGCAACAGCAATTCCCAACGACACCACAATTTGGCCTAAACCATCAACAACAGCAGCAACAATTGCTAATGAGCAACAAGTCTACTATCCAACCAGAAACCTACCACAAAGGTCTGATGGTAAAGAATTTACCGCAGGAAAATTTAGGTTTGTCATTGGATGGGACAAAGTTACCGAGTAAGGAGAAAGGTTTTTCCCCGAAGAAGGGTTTGATGGTTGGTCATGAAGATTTGATGACGCAGAGGGGTGCAGGAGTTTTCCAGGCAGGTGGTTTTGGAAATGGTGCTTCTGCGGAAAGTCCGAGGAAGAGCAGTTCAGGAGACAAGAAGTCTGGGAGTCCTAGTCAGAAAAGTCAGGGTGGAAGTGCTGGTGGAAATAATACTGGTAAGTAATTTTACTAATTAGTCCAAATAGTCTATTTAAGGATTTTAAACTCTTGAATGACCAAAAAAACTTCTATGCAAGATAATTATTGAGCATAATTGGGCAATTCTGCCGTAACAAAGCTCATAAAATAGCGTTGTCATGGCAACGCTCTTTTATGCTTGTTCTTGGTATTGAAAATTATAAAAATGTCTTCATATTTGCTGCGCGATCAATCAAGCGTATTTTACATATAAACAAATCAAGGGAGAATGTTATAATAACTGCATCGTCTAAAATTGTGTTATCAGACATTTTCATAATTTTCAATACCAAGAACAAGCATAAGATAACGTTGCCATGACCATTAATTTCAAAATGGAATGTTACAATTTTGGGTAAAAACTAATAGACTTGATATTTTTTTTCAGGAAAGACATATTCTTGTCTGGAATGTGGAAAAACCTTCAGTGCACATTACAATTTAACAAGGCACGCCCCTGTGCACACGGGGGCTCGCCCCTTCGTCTGCAAAGTCTGCGGAAAGGGATTCAGACAGGTAAATAAAAAAGCAACAATTTACCAAATAGAGAAATTAATATTCTTGTTAACTTCCCGAAGGAGAAGTTTATGTTTTCATCAAAAAATCCGATTTGCTAATTTTATATTTTCTCGACGTTTCAAGCCATTCTGAGTCGAATGAGACCAAATTTGGAAAAACTATGTGTACGTGTGTATGTGTGTGTATGTGAACAGATTTTTTGCAGTAAATCGACGTTTTCTCGAAAACGGCTGGGCCGATTTCAAAAATTTAAAAGCCATTCGATGTATCGCCACGAGGACTAGCGTTTCTGAGTTTTGTGTGACGATCGGCTGAGCCGTTTTTTTGTAATTTGAAAAAAAAAGTGTTAAACTTTTCGTCCACATTTAGGCTCAGACTACCGAATCGATTTTAAAAAATCAAAAACTGTTCGAAAGATATTAGTTGGGAATGATACTGATTAGTTTTAGGTAAAAATCTACCAAGCCAATTTCTTGTAATTAACTGTTGAAAAAAAATTTAAGCCGATTTTATGGAACTTTTTTTGACAATATATCATGGTCGTATAGAACTTTCTGAAATATTACGGCCTTACGAGGAGTAGTTAAATTTTAAAAATTCAATCGAAGTTTGAGAAAATAAGTAGTTTTTTGACGTTTGTTAAAAATAAAATTAGACGATTTACTTGGTATAACGATAGAGTACTTGGTCTTACAAAGTAAACATAGTAAACTATTAAAATCCTACGAAAACGGGTTTAAATATAAAAATTGTTGATTTTTGAAAATTTGTTTTTAGAAAATACTCCGAGCTAACGTGTTCGTTCGTTTTCAATTATGTGTAATAAATTCACTCGGAATACTTTTAATAACTCATAAATTAATTTATTTTTTATTGATTAAGTCGATTATTTACACATATCGGAAAGTTCATGTAACTTGCTTCAAGGCAAAATACCAATACCAACTAGTTACCTATAAATTTGTGATTTTTTAGGCTTCAACATTGTGCAGGCACAAAATCATCCACACGTCGGAGAAGCCTCACGTTTGCAACGTTTGTGGAAAGGCTTTCAATAGGTAACAATAAATATATATAATATTAATAAATATTATTTTTTATAATTTTGAATATTAATTATGATATTTATTATCAGGTCTTCGACATTGAACACACATTCGAGAATCCACGCCGGTTACAAACCATTCACGTGCGAACATTGCGGAAAATCGTTCCACCAGAAAGGAAATTATAAAAATCACAGGTGAATATAAATTTAGTTATCTTCTTATATATAAAAATGGAGCTCTCGATAAAATGATTCGGTAAAACTCGAAAAACGGCTAAACCGATTTGGCCAGTCTCAGTCTTGAAAAATTCGTGCAAATCAGTAGGACATTGTCGGAAAGAAGAGATATTATTTCAAAATTGCGTAGAAACTTTACATTTTTTATTTGAAATTTTTTGTAGAAGCGTAATTCGAATAAAACAATGGACGGTGGCTAATACGCCAAATGTCAAACGTTTGTGATGTTCAATTATGGTTAAAAGAATGTTTTACATGAATATTATTTAATTATGATTAAATTGATAAAAGTAAGTAGTTTTATTTATACACAAATACGTTATTAAACTGATTGCAAGTGTTACTAGAAATTCAAAATATCAACTTTTTTAAAATATTAATATGAAAATGCACTTTTTGGCATATTTTTCTCATTCACGGTGCTCTGAAACATCTCATTTGTATAATTATATACTCATTGGTATTTATAAAACATTTTCTAGTTTATATTATTTATTATTTATGTTATTTAAATTCAGAACCTAAATTTGGTATCGATCAAAGGGACATTTTGTCGAATAACATTTTCCCAGTTATAATTTCCCAGAATTTATCGAAGAATAGATAGTAATATATGAAGATCCGGGGTTAAAAAGGTCCACCACCGATGTGCCAAAAACCAGTGAAGTTAAGCATTGTTTAACAACAATATTTGAAAGTAGAGGGAAAAAGATGTAAAACTAGCTATAAACTTGATTCTTATGACTTTGCTATCGGAAGATAAACGGTAATCTTTGAAAATCCTTAATAAAAGCATTTTCTTCCGTTGGTAGTTTTTTAGCATTAGTTAAAAATGTAATTTTTTTTTGTAAAATACCTATAAAATTAATATAAGACCTTCAACCTGTTTGTCTACAGGGTAAAAAGGTCTAGATAACAAATTTTTGAAAGACATCAAAAAAGCACATTTCTACAATGATGAAGTAGCTGGCAGTTTTACTGAACGTAGTCAGATAATTGTTCGTTTGAAATGTGTTATTTGTTGTGATATATTTGGTTTGATTATTAATAATATAATTAATATTTGCACAAAGTCAAATTGGACCTTTGTGTCTCGTCCTGCTCTACATGTATACTTTTTATTAAATTTACTTTAATTCATCGAATGTTACTTGAAACTTTTCAAAAAGCAGGTCAAAGAAGAAATACTTAATTCATTTTCTATCTCTCCTCGCAGAAATTTGAAAATTTTGTATAAGCTCATTAGTATCATTTACAATTATACACAAAATCCAGAATCCAAAAAAGAATCTGAAAAACTTTGAAACGTGGTCAATAAGTCGAAAGAGGAAAAAGACTTGTTTATTGTTTTTATAATATCTCATTGTATATAGCATTCAAACAACTCATCCTCATGCACTTAAAGTATTATATATTTTTGATTCTCTAGAAATTGTTTAGAATATACCTTACTTAGCATAACAACGTTTGCCGGGTCAGCTAGTATATATATTTTTTTATCATTGATAAATTATTATTTAATTTAATTAACCATTATTTCTTTTACCCAGGTTGACCCACAATGGTGAAAAGGCCTACAAATGTACAATATGCGGCAAAGCCTTCCACCAGGTCTACAACCTGACCTTCCACATGCACACACACAACGACAGCAAACCCTTCACGTGCAGGGTCTGCGGAAAGGGCTTCTGCAGAAATTTCGACCTGAAGAAACACACCAGGAAACTGCACGAGTCGGGGGCGCAGACGCAGCAACAACCGGGTGCTCCGGTGGATAACAGTAATAAGAATTTAGGGATGGCTAATTATCAATCTGGGGGCAGTTTGGTGGGACTGTCGCCCGTTGGGGGGCATCATCCGGCGTCGTTTTTGTACAGGAATAATTTGGCTGGTTATGGGGGGTATCATCATGTGCAGTCTTAGCAATTTAGGAGATAAATGGAGGCTGATTGAAAATTTTTTTGTTTATTGAGTTATGTGAGGTTAAGGACTTATTAAGTTCTTTTGGAAATATTTTTATAAATGCTTTTAACTGGTGTGTGCCAGAACTCAACATCAAGCCGAAACAGGGTGATAGTATTGAGTGTAATTTAATTCCAACACTATTTTTAAGAATGTTTATCCAATCATTTTAAATTTGATCAATTTTGTGTAAATATTAAAAAAAATATTTACATTCCTAAATTCCTAGTTACAAAATTACACAATAATTTATAATAATAATTACAAATGCCAGGGTATTAAATAAATTAATTTATTGTAAATATAGTTATAAGTTATTACCATTAAGCCCAGTGATATAGAATTTATTTAAACAATTATTAATGTTATTGTTAATATATCTATTTGTTTATTTACAATTACTATTATATTTAAGTACGTGTATAAATAGTACTCGCTCTTCTTGCAATATAAATATATATAGAAATCAATTTTATGTAGTTCAATGTTTCCTAAATTGGGATTTGTAAATATAATTACAATATTTATGCCTTTGTTTTATTAAAAATAGATATAGTAAAAATGTATAAATATCTGAAATGAAAATTTTGTTTCTACAATTTTAGTCGAATATTTTATTAAAACTTTTTGGAATAATTAACCCTGAAACATGAAATTAGCGAATCGGATTTTCTGGCGAAATAAACAGCCCCTTCGTGATACAATAGATTATGTAAATGTAATGGAAGAAATGAATTCACAATAGGGAATAGAAATAGAAAATAAACTAGTGGGGCGCATGGCATCGTGCCTTAAGGCAAATTGCTGGAACTTCCCGTACCAATTTTTTTTTTTTAAAGATTAACATTTTTGAAAAAAAAATTACTCTGTAAAAATTAGATTTTTGAAAAACCATAAATTTTTGACAAAAATTTACTTTTTTTGAAAAAAAAAAGACTTTTTGAATTTATTTTGAAATATTTTGGAACTGCTTTAACTGCTAGAGACGAAATATCGAAGCGCGTAAGCGCCGCGTCGCCGTCTAACGGATAAACATTGGTACAGAACCAAAAGGAATGTAAACAAAATTTATACTTATTGATAAAATCGCTATAAAATATCTGATAATTTGATGTGCATATGTCTAATGATCATTTTTGACCGCCAGATGGCATTTTTTTTTACTTTTTTCACTAGATCTCCGAAACCGCTAGATCTGCCTTCATGAAAATTTGATCAGTTTTTCATCTTGTTAATACAAGTAAAATGTTTTTTGAATTACTCAAATCTGACGCTCCGTTCTTTTAAAAACTGAGTTACCTTTTCTGTCGCTTTTTATCCCATATCTTCGGAACTGCTGGACCTGCCTTCTCCTTATCAATACGAATCGAATGTTTTTTGAATTATTCAAATCGCTTCATCCGTGTTCCCGAAATCGTCGACGAAAATTTGTATCCGCACACACACACATACATCCATTTGTTCTAAGGTATGCCAAAATGTTCAGAAGGTTTTGAAACGTAAAGATATATAAAAAATTTCATTTTCGATTTTTTTGCGATTACTATAACTTGCCCTACGGGAAGTTAGTAAACAAAGAACAATTAATGCTGATATTATATGTGTAAACATCATATTAAATATAATATAATAGTTTAAAATAGGTGTTTTTCTTATTTCCCGGGGAAAAATTCGAAAAATATTCATTTTTAGTATATGGCAGTACTGAATTTTTTATATTATTACATTGGTAGCATGTTAGGCAAAAGTCAAAGACAGAGCTGAAAATGGCTGAAAATGGCCGGAGACTCCATTTTTGACGTAAAGTCAATTTGTTTTGCGTTTTAATTATTATTAAGAAGCATAAATCGTTAATTTGTACATAAATTAAATTCATTTGAAACATTTGTACATAAATTAAATTCTGTAGAATATAAATAAACTGAATGTATTTGCGTGGACAACTATTTTACTAAAATTTTGTAAGTACTTTTCAACATACTTATTGTCTTTAATTAAATGCAATGGACGTGTGTTATTTACCTTTTTACATTAACACATGTACATCACATTGATAAAATTGTAAATTTTTTGAAATACACTAAATGTTTTGTTTGCTAATTACCGTGTGAATTTTTTCTAGTGTTAAGAAATACTTTTGTAATTAATTTTAGATTATTTCACTTACTTTATTTTTTTTCTCAGTTATTAAAATGGAACTTTTAACGAGGCCTCCAAAAATGTGGCATTAAATTTATATTTTCATAATAGTTATTAGTTTTTTGTATTCCAGGTCATTGCTTCTTACAGTAAGTGGATTTCGCAAAAGCACTCCTAATTTTCTAAAACAATTTTCAAAGTTCCAAGGCCAAAAATGTCCGAAGGAACAAGTTCCACTTTGGCAATTAAAAGCGAACCATTAGAGTATGAAGATGCGAAAGAGGAATTAAATGATTATGAAAGTTTGCCACAAAATGATGAAAGATATCTTCACCGATTTTTAAAATCAGAGGTTATTATAGAGGAGGAAATAAAGAAGGAAACAACTGATCATCAAAATGAAGTTTCTTATCCAAATGTGGATAAAGAACCTGATGTGGTAAAGAAGACAATTCAAGAATCAGAGATCAAAATAAAGCAAGAAACAATTGATGATGAATATGAAATTATTGAACAAGAACCAGAAACCTCAGACAAAACACATGAAATTATTTATGAGTGTGCAACATGCAATAAAACACTAGCATCAAAAAAATCATTAAGACAACATGAAATGATCCATACTGGAGAGCGCCGCCATAAATGTGAAATATGCAATAAAGCATTCTTGACGAAACAAAAATTAAGGCATCATGAAGCGATCCACACTGAAGAGCGCCCACATGAATGTACAATATGCAATAAAACATTCAAACTAAAACGATCATTAAAGGAACATGAAAAGATCCATACTGGAGAGCGCCTTTATGAATGTGAAATGTGCAATAAAGCATTTAGAACAAAACAAAAATTAAACTTACATAAAGTGATCCACACTGGAGAGAGACCTTATGAATGCGAAATTTGTAATAAAACTTTTCCATTGAAACAATCATTAAGTCAACACAAATTGATCCATAATGAAGAGCGCCGCTACAGTTGTGAAATATGTAATAAAACATTTGCATTAAAGCAATCATTTAAAGTACATGTTTTGACTCATAGTGGAGAACGACTTCATGAATGTCAAATATGCAATAAAAAGTTTACTCACATAAACAATTTGAGAACACATTTAGTTGTGCATACCACTGAACGTTCCTACTATAAATGTGAAACGTGCAATAACACATTCACAACAAAACAAACATTAAAACGACATGAACTTACCCATGCTGGAGTGAAACCCTACAAATGTGAAATATGCAATAAAGAGTTTACTCAATTGGGCAATTTCAAAGTTCATTTAACTGTGCACACGGGAGAGCGGTCCTATAAATGTGAAATGTGCAATAACACATTTACAACAAAAAAAACATTGCAGCAACATGAAGAGACCCACGCTGGAGTTAAGGCCTACAAATGTTTAATATGCGATAAAGCATACACATCAAAACGGGCATTAAAACTGCATGAATTGATACACAGTGGAAAATTGCCTCATAAATGTGAAACATGCAATAAAACATTCACCACAAAAAATATTTTAAACCAACATGAACTGCTCCACACTGGAGAGCGACCTTATGAATGTCAAATATGCAATAAAGCATTTGCAACAAAACAGTCATTAAATCGACATAAATTGATCCACCCTGGGGAACAAAATATTGAAGAAATGGATTATGTAAGCATAGTTGAGGCGGCAATATCTCATAGCAAAACAAGCGCTACTACATATTTTAATTAAGAATTTTTATACAAACACAGAACGAATAATGCTAATATATGACTTGTATAGACATCTTATTAAATATAATATAATTGTTTAAATCAAGTGAATTTATTATTTATGGTTTTAGTTTATTTGTAGTAATGTAGTAAAAAATTCAAAAATGATTTTATTAATTGTAAGGCAGCACTGAATATTTTATATTACCATGTTGGTAGCATGGCAGACGATTGAGAATGACAGAGCTGAAGACTCCATTTTTGATTTTGTTTTCAGAATTATTATTAAGAGCATTATTCGTTAATTAGTTCAAAATCATATGCATTCATACATAAAAATCATATACTGTAGCATATAAATAAACTGAATGTATAATTTTTGTAAGTACTTTACAATACACTTTTATTGAGATATTTAGATAAATTTATTTAACTATCATAATTTGCAAACCCTAGACAATAATATGACATACTCATACATGATGTAAACAAATCATTACATTCATTAAAACATTGTTATTTGTTCACTAATTACTGACAAATCATGTTTGATTTTTTTTTGTGTATTTATAAATAATACAAAGACTTTCATGAACTCAATTACATTAAAAGCCTAAGCATTCTCATATATATAAACTTGGTCAGTTATTTTACAATAAGTTAAGAAAGGAGAATAAAACAAGTGGATGTGTAAATTAGATTTTTTTCATAGGAATTTCACACTCTTCAGAAAAATAATCCGAAAGACACTAAGAGTGAATGTGTCTTGAAACTTGTTTCAATATGATACAAACAAATATGATTAATTGTCTGAGACTCTGATATTTGTTTCTACAAAATACTCATTATTTTCTGTATTTCAGAATATACAGTAAGTGAACTCTTAATGTTTTAAGAAAATTGTCATAAGTGCATACAACAAAGTCCAAAAATGTCCGAAGGAACAAGTTCCACTTTGGAAATTAAAAGTGAACCATTAGAGTATGCTGATGTGATAGAGGAATTAGATGATTATGAAAGTTTGCCACAGAATGATGAAATATATGTACAGCGATTTTTAAACTCTGATGTTACTATAAAGGAAGAAATAAAGAAAGAAACCATTGATGATCAAGATGAAGTTTCTTATCCAAATGTAGCAATGTAGTTAAAAACCTTGTATGGAAAAAGAAACAATTCTAGAATCAGGGATCAAAATAAAGAAAGAAATAAAGCATGAAACGATTGATGATCAATATGAAATTATCGAACAAGAACCAGAAACTTCAGACAGAACAACACATGAAATTATTTATAAATGTGCAACATGCAATAAAACACTTGCATCAATATATTCATTAAAACAACATGAACTAACCCACACTGAAGAGCGCCCCCATGAATGTATAAATTGCAACAAAACATTCAAAACAAAGCAGTCATTAAAACAACATGAATTAATTCACACTGAAGAGCGCCCCCACGAATGTGCAAATTGCACCAAAACATTCAAAACAAAGCAGTCATTAAGAGAGCATGAATTGATCCATACTGGAGAGCGCCCGCACGAATGTGAAATATGCAATAAAGCATTTATGACAAAACCAAAATTAAACTTACATAAAGTGACCCATACTGGAGAGCGACCCTTTACATGTGAAATATGCAATGAAACATTCACAACAAAAAAATCAATGAAACGACATGAATTAACCCATAGTTTAGAGCGCCCCTATAGTTGTGAAATATGCAATAAGGCATTTACATTGAAACAAACATTAAAACAACATGAATTAAGTCATAGTGGAGAACGACCCCATGAATGTGATCTATGCAATAAAAAGTTTACTCTATTAAGCAATTTGAAAGCACATTTAACTCTGCACAGCGGAGAGCGATCCTACTATAACTGTGATATATGCAATAAAACATTCGTGACAAAATATAAATTAAATGAACATGAATCGATCCACACTGGAGAAAAACCTTATAAGTGTGAAATGTGCAATAAAACATTCAGAACAAAACAATCATTAAACTCACATGAATTGGTCCACACTGCAGAAAGACCTTATAAATGTGAACTATGCGATAAAGCATACACAAAAAAACAAAAATTAAACCAACATGAATTGACCCATACTGGAGAGCGCCCCCATGAATGTGATATATGCAATAAAGCATTCATGACAAAAGGAATGTTAAGGCAACATGAAGTGATCCACACTGGAGAAAGACCTTACAAATGTGAAATGTGCGATAAAGCATTCAGAACCAAACAAAAATTAAACCAACATGAATTGACCCACACTGGTGAGCGCCCTCATGAATGTGCAAAATGTAATAAAACATTCAAATTAATAACATCATTAAAACGACATGAAAAGATGCATACAGAGGAGCGATGCCATAAATGTGCAAAATGCAATAAAGCATTCAGAACAAAACAAACATTAAACCAGCATGAAGAGATCCACACTAAAGAGCGCCCCCATGAATGTGCAATTTGCAATAAAACATTCAAAACAAAACGAACGTTAAAAGAGCATGTAAAGCTGCATATTGGAGAGCGTCTTCATGAATGTGAAATGTGCAATAAAGCATTCAAAACAAAACAAAAATTAAACGTACATAAAGTGATCCACACTGGAGAGAGACCCTATGAATGTGAAATTTGTAATAGAGCATTTCCATTAAAACAATCATTAACACGACATAAATTGATCCATACTGGAGAACAAAATATTCAAGAAATAGATTCTGTAAACTTGGATTCATAATTGGGGATAGAACTTGTAGTGCAAGCGCAATTACATATTCCAATTAACTAAGGATGACATTTTTATATAAATGAAGAACAATTAATGTTAATATGACATGTATAGACATCTTATTAAATATAATGTAATAGAATGAAATATTTGTGTTTTTGTTTATTAAAATTGAAATTGCAGGAATTTTGATCTCAGATAATATTATATAACAAGATTATGCTCCAATATTCAATAGATATTTAAATAAATTATCTTGAGAAAAAGGAGAGGCTATTACTTCAAAAAAAGGATCGTAAATAATCAGTTATCCAGAAAAACTTAAACTTTAAAACATAATGTTTGAAATTCTTTCAAATTGTTAAATATATAAAACAGTATATTTAATTTTAGATGTTTAGAATTAGATTAGAATGTTTTTAATCAAATGACATGTATTAATTCGAATATATTGCTAATCTAATCAATCCCACTTGCTTTTAATAGCTTTTACAAGAAACTTTGAACGAAATTACTCAATGAGATAATTAATATTAAAATTTAATTATATATAAATTAAAGCAATAAAATCTCCTCATTGATTCTTGAAAGATTGTGAATAAGGTAAAAATTTGATAGAGCCATGACCGAACTAGAAGTACATATAAAAAATTAAAACTACAATGCTTTCAGGTAAAAAGTCGTCATACTGCTTATTTATATATTAAAGTCCGTGATATCTTTAAGCATTCATAAATAACATCAAGAAAAATCATTAAAATTAACAGAAAAGCAAACTGTCACTTACCATCGACCATCTTTCTTGACTTTAAATCCTTGTGTATATCTCGCTGTACAAAATCTGACACCTGCGGACTATAAATTATTTTCACATATTACTATTAGGAGGAAAAAATGCACTACACTTTATAAGAATTATACACATATTAAATCCTATTTCATTTAAATCAAAGACTGGTGAGCGGTTTAACAGCACGTGAATGTCCGCCATTGTGTTTTGACAGTGACGATTGCACCAACACAAAACGCAAAAGTCAAATCACATGATTTAAAGGTTAAGTTTGTGCAAAATACATTAATTTATCAATTTTCGTATTAAATCATTTATTAAGTTAAAGTTATGAGCACCAAAGAAGAAGTATGCATGCTCCTAGACAAACTCACCTTAGAGATGCTCCATCTAATGGAACAAGAAGTCCAATGTAAAATAAATATAGAAAAAACCACCAAAGACGCCAGTGTCGAATTAGCAAGAGCCCGATACGTTAAAGGGCAACAGACAGTCTCAGTTCTACAATTACCTACTGAAAAAAGCACAGAATTCGATGCTTTATCCGTTGTCACGCAGGATGATGATGAGAGCGAAGATTTAAGTGACAAAGTCGACTTGAGAACTCGCCCAGCAGACAAGGAGAAAGGAGAAATTGATCCTTTGAAATGGTTCGGGGTCTTGGTTCCTCAAAGCTTGCAAAGGGCACAAAAACTATTTAAACAGTCATTAGAATATGTAGTTGAGTGCCGCAATGTGCAAGGGCAATTGCATAGTGCTATTGAAGGTTTATTCGCTTTAAATGCACTGAAAAAGACTCTATAGTAATAGATAATGTTTCTTATATAAATTTAACTATTGTGTAAAGAATATTTTATAGTGACAAAGTATAATTAAACTTATTTATTATAATAATTGTTCAACAACTGAATTCTTATAAAAATAACAACTTTTTATATGTACAACATATCACTAATGAGGTTCAACAAATAATTAAAGTATTAAAATAAACATATTTGTAAATTAATACCTAGAACTTTGTTTTGTAACTTTGTACTCTTCATTTATTTCAGAATTTGCTAATTTATTTTGATACTTTCTTTCTATATCCTTTAAGTGTTCAGAAATCTATGAAAAAATAATAAACACGCCCTTAATATTATTAAAATACAAATTGATTTAGAACCATAAATTCAACTTACTTCTTTTTCTCGCCTCTCAATATTTCTTTCCATTTTGTTTTTCATTTTTGTAACTGAAAGCTCATAGCCATGTTTAATACGTTCAATTTCATTCATGAAATGTTCTTCTTTATCTGCGATATAAGCCTAAAAATACATTGAAGTAAAACCCATTTCAATTCGATTATAAATTAATATATACCTTATAGGTTTCCACACATTTCTTTGATTTGCTGTATTTTTCAGATAAGCTCGTTAGTTGCTTGTCAATATCTGCAATTTGTTGTTTTAAATTCTTATTTTCATTTAACAACTCCATTCTTAGTGCACAATTATTATCTCTTTCCGTTTGTAAAGTCTTTGTGTTCTCATCTAATGTTGTCATTAGAGTCTGTATCTATAAAAAGTAATAAATGTATAAATAAACTGTTACAGAGTATAAAATTAATGTTACTTACTCGTTCTTCACACATTTCAATTTTTGCTTCGTATTTCTGCACAACGCCGACATCAATCTCTCTAGATTTATCATTTATGATTTTTTCTTTTTCTTCTAAAGATTTTCTGTAGCAATCTCGTTCCGATAAAACAGCAGTTTTTAACAATTCAACTTCTTTAGTTCTGACTTGCAGGGTTTGAATTAGTTTTTGCAAATTATCTTCGAGAACTAATTTTTCTGATCTATACTTGTCATCTAAATTTTTTATTTCTTCTGCAAATAACAGTGACAACTCTTCGCGCACTTTCCGTTCACATTGGAGAATTTCATCCTAAGAGAAAAATAATTATAATTATAAATATAAATATTAAATTTATAATTAAATATTCCAGTATGATTATTAGTATTACCTGGTGCTTTTCGTGTATATTTTCCAATTCTTCCAAATTTATTTTACCATCAGTGCCTACACCAATATTGCGAACAGATTTTTTCCAATCACCATCTGTTTCTGTGCTTTTACTGGTTTTAATTGTGTTATTTATTGAGTGCTTCGTTTTTGACATGTTTTGCATCATAAATTCTTCAAATTTCTGTGCTTTCGCCTTCATATCTTCTATCATACTGTCTCTGTACTTTCTAGACTCTAAGAAAATAAATAATATAAATCATTTATAATAAATATAATAATATTCCAATTATACCTAGATCGACTTTTAAATCCTTGATCTCTTGCCCGGCATCCAGTAACTTTTTATTCAAATCAATAATATCTCTTTTGTGAAGTGAACAATTGTCTCGTAGTTTATCACATTCAGATTCCAACTAAAAATAATGAAACATACATTGGTAACAAAAAATTTATTTTGAAATTAAAAAAAAATGTGTATACCTTTTGAATAACATCTGAGTGCTCTGTGCAATTGTGCAATTTATCTTGTGTTTTCACTACAATAATAAATTTAATAAGAAAGTAAAAATATAAAGGAAAATTCACATCTTAATAGCCATGATAATATCACAAACATTTTCATAAGGGCCATTATACCTTTATTAGTTATTTTAGTTAAAAATGTATCAAAGAAAAAAAATTATGATTAATGTGTTAAAATATTTCATCCATACATACTTCCTGATTTACCCCTTTGTATCAACTGCTCATTCAACTCATAAATTTTTTTATTAGCAGCATCCAAATCATTTTCCAACTTATTAACAATGTTCTGCATGTCTTTTAATTTAACAACAAAATCTTGAGACTTAACATCATTCAGTTCTTTAACAAGTTTATCTTTTTCCACAGACAATTCTATATACAATGTTTTATACCGATCAATTTCCTTCTGAGCATCTACCAATTGATACTTTAATTTATCAATTTCCATGTTTAATGATCGTAAGTCCACATCTTTTCCTGGAGATTTGAGGAAATTTGTTTTTGAGCCTGGTAAGGGTGTGCTTTCAGCACTGATTAAGCGATTCATCTTGGAAAAGTGCTCCAGTTGGGAAATTTTATCTAACAGAGTTTTGTTTTCTGTTTTTAAGGCTTCTATAACGGTGCGATTTGGTTTGGATTGCGCTGGGTCATCCACATCATCATCTAAATAAAGGATAATTAATATAAACATGAAAAGCATATATATATATATATATATATATATAAATTTATAATTAAAATATTTACCATTGTTTTGTCTATTCAAACACATTTCCATGTTTTCAATCTTTTGGTTGAGTCTCATATTTTCCAATTTTAATTTCTCACAATCTTGATACAACTGATTTTTCTCTCTATTCATTTCAACGACCATATCATTGTGTTTTGGCATATTGGTTTCAACTTGTGTTAATTTTTCATTTGCATGCAATAATTTCTCTGTTAATTTAAGAGACTCTTCTCGATAATGAGTTGCTTGAAACATAGCTTGAGATTCGTTTTCCTTTAAAGACTTTATTTGCGCCTCCCTAAAAGAGATTCACAATAATGATACATACAAATATGTTTATCCTATCAATCACTAAACATATCTGCAGTTCAAACTAAAAGTAAATTGAGTGAATAATATTATTATATTATATTTTATTATTTACTGACTTATTTTCTAGAGCCTCCTGCAACATTTTGATTTCATTTCGTCTCTCCTTGTGCATCTGCATACACCGATACAATTCGTTTTGTAGTTTAAATAACTTATCAGTTAAATTTAATTTACTTGTTTGTTTGTTTTGAGTTCGTTTTTTCAGATTCATATCTATCATTGAGTCAGTTTCTACATCACTTTCCGTATCGACATTATGAGATGATGGAGCCTCCAGTGATAAAGATTCTAACATGTTCTGTAAATTGATTAAATTATGTAATAACAGAAAATGTATATATATATATATACTTATATATATATATATATATATATATATATTACAATTATTACCAAGGCTTCATCCAGTTGTCTCTTAAGTGTTTCGTTCTCCATCTCCATGCCAATAAATTTCTGTTTCATTTCAGCCACATCTAAAACTTCACCGCTGGTTTTTGAATGAGTTAAAAGTGCCTGATATTGTTTTTGAGTTTCTTCAAGTTTCTTGGCTAATTCATTCACAGTTTCAGCCTTATCCAGAACCATACGCTCACGTTCCCTATACAACTCTTTATTTCTTGTCTCTAATTGTTTAATTTCAATTTCCTAAAAGGAATAATAAAGCAGGTAGTATATTATAGTCAAATAAATGTGATTGTGATATAGTTATAATATTTACACAATTTTCCAGCCGGTTTTTCATATGGTTTATAGTGTTCTCTAAATTTTTTACTTCTTCAGCATGATTTTCTTTCGTGCTTTTTAAAATTACTTCCAATTGTTTGTCATTGCTAAAACCTCGGTCTATTATTTGCAATCTATAAAACAAAAAATATAGTTAATCAAATATTCTCACCATGATTATTACAATTATTACCTTTGATAAGAATCTTGTAAAGACGCCTTTGCAATCATTAACTCATTTTTGAGTGTTTCTTTTTCTTGTTCCAGATAACTTATGGTTGAATTCAACGAATCAATTTTGTTATGAGATTCGCCCAATTCACTTTTTGTTTGAACTGAAAATATAAATTTATTATGAAACTTTTAGGAAATAATTTTCTATTTACCTTATTTCACTTAGTTTACTCACAATCAGATGAATAAATAAAGTAATAAATAAATTTGTTAAACAATATATTAATATTGTAAAAATACTTATAATATTAACTAAAAATAATATATAATAAATAAAAGATTTAATAAATAAAATAATTAATAAAATAAATTATATACAAAGTTGTAATATTGACATGAACCTTATTTTAATAAATAAATATTATTATTACCTAAAAGTTCTTGTGCTTGTTGCCTCGACAAAACAGCTCTTTCTTTATCAGCCTCACTCAACAGCAACTGTTTACGCAATTCAGATATTGTGTGCTCTGAATGTAAACGAGACTCCTCTAATTGAGTTGCAAGATTTTGCACCTACAAATGAATAAAACTTATACATTTGCAATTTACAACAAAAATTTAGTTCTTATAACATACTTCTCTAACACGAACATCATATAGTACTTTAAGTTGTTCAATGCTACCAAATTTTGATTCTAAATACTTTCTCTCTTCTTCTTCGTAATTTAATGCATTATTTGAATTTCTATAATCTTTTGGAAAGCTATCGCCATCTCCACCCTGATTGTTATAGTCGTTTTGCATTTGAACAAACTTTGGATTATTTATGATAAACTGATTGGTCTTGTAGTTGTTATCACCTAAAAGAAACCAAAATAATAAAAATCATAATATAAAGCTTTCTATACTAATTATATCATTTCTATATTGTTATACCATGGTTGATAAACTCTTGGCCATCAGAATCGCTGTGTGCACCATTATATCGATATCCATTTGTGAGCACAGGAGTGTGATGCTGAAAGACATCTTCATCGTTCTCTGAAATTCTAGATATTATATGTGAACTGCTATCTACAGTCAAATCATCTTCATCGAGTTCATCCAGATCATCAAAAGCGTTCATTAACTGATTTCCCAACTGAAATGGTAAAACAACGTAAAAAAAATCTTTTATTATTGTATATTATTACCATACTTCTTTATTTCGTTCCTCTTGTTCCTTCCGAGCTTCTTCTTCAAGCTCTTTTTGAGCTTCATCATCGTTTATATTGATGTTTGTATGCCCCTGAAATAAACTCAAACCTGGGGCATTCATGGTTTAAAACTTCACATTAAATTGTACAAAAGGTACGTACACTTCTCAAAAATCAGATATATAAAACAAATGAGTTATTATTAATTAATAATCACATATGTGCAGCGAATGCAGTTTGTGTAAAACAACAAAATACTGGTAAAATTCCTAACCACAAAACGTCAAACAATTTTAGTCAAATAAATAAAAGACCATTTGTGTTCCGAATTATACAGTTTTATATTGACTTAATTTATTTAAACTATAGTTGTTACAAACGTTATTCACAGTAAAATTAAATAAACAGAAAATTGTTTTTGGCTAAATGTGAAATATCAACAAGTGGCCAAACAAATATTTTGACAGCTCAATATTATATGTCAACTGTCAAAGATGTCCGACTGACGTCAACTGTCAGTGCAGCAGGTTAACGTATTTTGAAAATTTGAATTTGAAAACTGTATACATGAAATTGCATAAATTATAATTAAAATATTAAATAATGAAGCAAGTATATCATGTGAATATTATAAAAAGTAATTTGATATTAAAATGTATATCAAAACTGTCAAAGATGTCAAAAATGGCCGACCGACGTCAACTGTCACTGTTACTGGTTAACGTTAAATTAGTTTGAAAAAAAATAAACATAAAATTGCATAAAATATAAATACAGTTTCAGGCAAGCATATCAAGTGAATATTATGAAATGTATGAAGACAAACCTTACTATGCATCAATGTGCATTTCCTATATATGGAAATTATTCCAAGTAATAATAGTTTTACATATAAACATTCATATGACCTGAATCCAAATCTTTCACAAGTTGTATTTTCATTAACGTGTGTGTGTATTTATTAATGTAAACAATTGGAATTCTCAAACGAAATTTGAGCCTTCTGTCTGCGCCTGTCCAATGTCCTTGTGTCACTAAAAATTGATAACGTTTCAAAATTCTGTGAAAGCAAATCCAATTCAGAACTAATTAAACACTGCTTGTTCTCACGCCGATAAATTTAATAGAAAATTGAGACAATACATTATTTTATCTAATAAATATTACGTTACGTATGAGATAAGTAAAACGCAGAGAAATAATAATAGTAAAATGCAATCAATCTTATTTTCTTACATAATCATAAATGAAACTATATGCAAATAAGATTTTCTGGCAAAAATGAATTGGGAAATTTAAAATTCCTTCACTTGCATTTTTTAACATCCTGTAGGGCGTTATAGAAATTAATGTTGATTTATATAGAAATAGAATTAGATGTAAATAGATAGGTATCTATTATGTATTATCTAATCTATTATTATTATTATTATTAATAATCTTATCCGATTTGAAAAGTGCGTGTGTCCTTATTTTCCGTTTCTAATTTCAAAAACAAGTCTGGCAGACATGAAGGACATAAACGCCTATTGTATTATAAGCAGATTATGATTTAGTATCGTATTTCGAATTATTGTTTTGTTTTCCACCGAGACACCTTTTCGAAGAGAGATTCGACACTTTGGAATCCCTTTCGTGGCCCCAAAGTCAAAACAACCGAATGAAAAATAAAATTTGAAAAAAGATAAGACGAAACCGAAGCTCTCCCAAAAATTCATATCGTTAATTATTAAAAAATAGTTTTGTGATTCATGGATTTATTTCAATTATTATGAATAATTATTGTAATGAGGCTTCTGCTGAAAAGCCGGTTGCATTATATATAATAGTTTTGTTTATTTTTTGGACATGTTTTATGTTTATAATTTTTGTTTTACATTTTTGTTGTTATATTTTAGTTTCAATGAGTCATTGTTGCTAAGCAAAATTCTACTTATATATACTAGCTGACCCGGCAAACGTTTAACAATTTTTGAAAAAACTTGAAAATTTTGATATTTTTATATTTGAATTTTTTTTATTTCTAGAAAAATTTTGAAATAAAAAAATAGCTAACTGATTGTGAATGTGAAAATATATGATACATAAGTGAAAGGCGCTAATACTAATTATATGGATGGTTTACCCACTGCAAAGCATGCCACATATAATTGCTCATGGGAAAATTGTTCTAATTTGAAACTGATTTTATTTAAACTGGTTTGGCACATGAATATTCAATATTCACGTTTTTGGTATATTTTTACCGCATTTGTAATTTATAAAATAATTCGTAAAATTAATTAAATCATGTTTTTGTTTTTAAATTTGTTGATTATCAGTATATTCAACTATATAGTATATGATTTAAAGGAGATTCAACAATATTTTTATACTAGATTTAAAATTAGTTAATTAAGGTATATTAGAATTGTTATATTCTATTAGTCCTTAATATGGACATTTTCGAATTTTTTTGCTCCCAAGGGCTCAAATGGTTCCAAATTGATAAAAAACAATTCGCTGAAAGTTTTAGCTCTTAATATTGACTTTTAGATAGTGCGCAATTCAATCAAACTATTTCCATACAAAACTTTGATTAAATTGCGCTCTATCTAAAAGACAATATTAAGAGCTAAAACTTTCAGAGAATTTTTTTTAATCAATTTGGAACCATTTGAGCCCTTGGGAGCAAGGAAATTCCAAAATGTCCATATTAAGGACCACTCTAATATATATATATGATATATAGAAATTATTGTCAAATATAAATACAATTATACTAATATAGTAACTTAACTATAACTATTACTGACAATTTTTTGAATATAAACGTTGCAAAGTAATTTTTCCTCAACAAATGTAGGTACTTTAAAGATTAATTAAATTTACTAATCATATTCATATTAAATACTTATATGTAGTTAAATTAATTAAAGTCAAAAACTTTGTTTTGCTCTTGAAGATATAAAGGGATTCCTCATGTCCTTTAATTAATTGTTTCACCCAAATAGAAAGGTGGACCTTAATTAAATAATACATTCCAAATAAATTGAATCAGCAAATTAGACAGAAATTTGATATTTTTCAAAATAGAATATAAGCAAAATGTTAAATATAAGCCATAAATATATATTGACACAATATAATATAATATAGTTTACTGCAGAACAATTTGGAGATTAATCTGTCATATTAAAAATTTTGTAAATTATATGGCAAAGAAATGGGAAATTAATTTGGCTGGGAATAAATGACCAGAATAAATAAATACTTGTAAAAAATTATTTTCTGTTCTAGAAACTTAGTGATTAAAATAAAAGTCACAAATCAAACTTAGTTATAATACCAAATCTAAAAAAAAATTAGGAGAGCCATAGTTGCTCCATTAGCTACCCCTTTATACATCTTAAAATAATTTCTTTGAAGGCTTCAATTCAATTTATTTTGAGTGTATGTTTGTACATGTATTATCCGTATATATTACATATGTATTTCATAAAACCAGAATGTAATATTACGACAAATAATAATATAAGCAAAAGCCATCATCATCATCATCATCGATTGACTGGTTGTGGTAATTTATCGATATTGTTTTCAAGATCAATTTTATCTCCTCCAAAACCTGTTATTGATACATTTAAAATTTTAAAATCAAAAATATTTAAATGTATTTTGTGCGTTTATTATGATCACAAAAAACTAAACGACCAAGATAAATTATCATGTGGAAAATAATAAAAATTATTTAAAAAACAAATACTCGACGTAATCTTGAATAACTGACTAATTCGAAAAATGACTAAAATTTTTTGTTTGATTTGTGATAACAATGCAATTTTTTTTGTTTCATATTATTATTATTATAATTATCTTATTACTTCTAATATTGTTATTTTGTTATATTTTATTGTTTTTCTAGTATTATTTTATTATTCAGAAATTTTATTTATATTATTCATTAATTTTATTCTTATTATTATTTGCTTTTATTTTATATTAAATCATACTACGGATATTATTTTAATATAAATTCTATCCTTTGCACTCTTATTTATTTAAATTTATGTTATTATTTATCATTATTGCTAGATGTTAATTATTTAACAGTTGTAATAAATATTGTAATTAAAAAAAATTAAAAAAAATATTATGTAGGTCATAATTTTTGCTTTATAATACTAATATTATTTAAATAAAATGAATTTACATATATATTGTATTTTGGTTATAATACATGCCTTTAAATTCAATCTCGACTATTATTTCTCGCCATATTGTTCATTATAATTTCTATGTATTTTGTTTTTGACAAAAAACTTGATGATGGAATGAAGCAGGTTACAAAACGTCTCAATTAAGACTTACAATATCTAGGGGCGTCCATTAATCACTTGATCGACTTTTAAGGATTTTAGGACCTACCAAAACTACCCCCCCCACGTGTTTTTTTAATAACTAGAAAAAATAGTAAAAAAATTTTTTTTTTAATTTTTCAAAAAATAAAAATACGTGATATCTTACTACACCCTCCGCTCCCCACGTTAAATTTCGTGATTTTTTGAGAACCCCCCCCCCAAATAATCCAGGACTCAAAAATTACAAAAATCTTTAAAGGAAATTTTTAAGTGAAACAGAAAATAAATGTAGAGAATTTTTATTTACCTAAACGTTTCGACATATGGTCTTATGTAATCATTATTAGTTAACATAAACTTGGATAAAATCATTATAAAGTAATTTAATAATAATAAATATAATACAAACGGTTATGTGTTTGAAATTTATAAAAATTCATTATAACTACAATCTACTACTGACTATTATTAATTTAATTCTAATTTATTGATATGAACTGATGATGACAAAGTTACATGTGAAAACGTATGTATATATATATATATATATATATATATTTATATATTTATATTTATATATGTATTGGAGTAACAATATTCATATAAGTTTATTTATTTATTTATTTTCTTATCCTTGGCATACACGTACAATATCAAGGCCTCGTACGCAAAATTATGCCACCGGCGAGCAAGGACAAATTATTATTATTATTATTATTATTATTGCCTTTGACGAGAAAAACTTGTACTATAAAATTTTTAATATTTTTTGGTTCAAAAAC